TCATGCATAGTATTAGGGGCTAGGACCTTCAGGAAGTGATTAGGTTATGAAAACAGAGCCAGCAGGAATGGGATAAGTACGCTTATAAAAAGAGGTCAAGGGGGACTGGAGAGATGGCTCAGCGGTTAAGAGCACTGACTGCTCTTCCAGAGGTCCTGAGTTCAATTCCCAGCAACCACATGGTGGCTCATGACCATCTGTACCCTCTTCTGGTGTATCTGAAGATAGCAACAGTGTACTCACATACATTAAATAAATAAATAATTCTTTAAAAAAAAAAAAAAAAAAAAAAAAAAGAGGTCAAGGATGATCCCTTATCATCCAACTATATGAGGAACAGTAAGAAGCACTGTCTACACAGAAGCAAGCTGGCCCTCACCACAGTACCTGGACCCTGGACTTCATATTCAAGAGCATGAGCAGTAATCTCTGCTGCTTGAAAGCTGCCCACTTAATGTTTCTGACTTTATGACAGCTATCATATTTGACATTAAAAATTAGCCAACCTTCTGGGGAGTGGAGGCGGGAAACTGAAGAACACAGTTCTCCATCATCACTGGCGTAAGGGGCACTGACCTCATAGGTGTGTGCATCCAGACCCTGGGATCTGCGCTCCAGGTCCACTGGTCCTTACCAGAGCCATTAGTGCCCCATGCAGAGGGACAAGGCAGCACTTACAACCTGGAGCCCAAGCCAGACAGGCCACTGTCAGCCACAGATCAATGAGAGAGTGTCCACGGAGCAGCAGGAGCAGCAGGACCAGGCAATGGCAGAGAGGCACCATGGTCTATGGGCATCTAAAACGTACTCTCATCTCAAAAACCCTAAAAAAAATCATGCAAATCCAGAGGTGCAAATCCTTGTGTTCATTTTATGAACACTCAAATTGACCAGGTCATCAGGGTTATGCAAAGACTCACCAAGTATCTGAAAGATGTCACTTCATAAAAGGAAGGTGTGCAGGTGTGTCCAGGCCAAGCAGTGGGATGGATGTAGGGCTAGTGGCCCGAAAACTGTGTTGAAGTTTTGTAGCAACAAAGAGAGTAACATGAAGCTTAAGGCTAGACATGGACTATCTAGTCACATATATCGAGATATGCAACGTACCCAAGACACACCGCTAAATTTACAGAACTCATGGTCAGATTAACACACATATGATGGCTAGTCTTAGCTGTCAACTTGGCTACATTTGAAAAGTATTTAAAACCAAAAGCAGCTGGGTGCACTTGTAAGGAATTTTTCTTGATTGCATTATTTGAGGTGGGAGACCCCATCCTAAATCCTATCGATTGAAGTCAGAAGATCTACCCTAAATCTGGGCCACACTTTCTGTGGGGAGCCCACATAAATAAATGGAAGGAAGCTTGTGTTTTCTGTCTGCTTGCTCTCACTCTCGCTAGCCTGAGAACAACTACCCTGAGCCATTCCTTCCATGGTGGTAGAGCCTATTTCTTCAAAATCCAACATGAACTGAAAACTGGCAGCTCTTAGGACTCCCCTGGTGCTCCAGCCCTGTATCGAACTGCTGAGACATCTAGTCTTGTGGACTTAACTACTGAACTCTTGGCCTTTGGGAGATAGCCATTGTATAACTATTTGCATCATAGCCTGTACACCATTCTAATAAATTCTGTATGTGTGTACGTACATACACACACACACACACACACGAGCTCCCCTGCCACACTGAGATGGTCCTCATTGAACAGGAAAGCACTGTTCCTCAGCTGGAGTGGGAGGCTGCACAGAGAAAGATAGATACCCCACAGAAGGAACTTATGGCACAGGAATAAATTCAACATAAAATAAGTGCCAATAAAAGGTTTTAAGTGAAAGGTCTATTCCATTAAGTTCACAGGCTTTTTTTCCTATTTTAGTTCTAAATATTGGCATTCCCCCAAATTCTGAAGACATGACCCACTATCATCCTACAAATTCAAGCCACTGTATCAAGTAACATGAAGTGTACAAGGGAGAAGTGTAGGGGCTGCACACTGGTCACTACTTGGGGAAGTGGCTTCTCATGGTGAGGGGTGGAAAGTAGGAAAGGGTAGAAAAGGACACTTAACACAATGAAGGAAAAAAAGAATTGTACCAGGGAAGAATGAGACATGAAAACAAATGACTGGCAGGTCTCCAAGTAACAAAAGGCCAATGAATCCATAATGCACTTGTCAGCCTACATGGCCAACAATGCTGGCCAGCAGCACAGAAGCTTTGCAGTTGCTCATCAAGTTCCACAAACTTCAACCCCAGGCAGGAACTACGTTTTAACACCAGCAAACACCTAAAACCCTGTCTCCTGGCTGGTCCAGCTAGGGACTAGAACAGCTCTGAGATGACTGCTGACTCTCAGCATCCTACGAGATGTATACAGCATTCCATAGCTCAGAAACCTCATAAAGGAATTTGATACACACCAATATTAATTGCTAAGAGAAAACAAGACGCAACTTTGATCACAAACACCTGCAAGAATTTAATCTTCACAGACTGAAAGAGTGGCAGAGCATGAACTTGGAACACATGCTGTGCTATGGGAAGGCGGATGGAGATGGGGAGGGGTGGAAAGGGACTAGGGAGAGGAGGAAAGAGGGAGAGGAACATGAGCGAGGCAGTGATATGCAATGGACATGTCTTGTTGGAATCCTTACTCTGTACACCAAATAAAAACAATTTTCAGTTAGGTATGTACAATGAGCCACCTATGTATGTCCACATTGTGTGGTAGATACCAAAGCAGTTTCCTAAACTGAAAACTGACAGAAATTTACAGAAAACCAACTGCTTAACTTTTGTAAGTGAAGGTTAGTTTCCCTGAAACATTTATTCCATCAGGCTATTGATGACAGGCGGTAATCTGATCCTGAACACTTCTGTACATACTATTATACAAATGGGCAAATTGGAGCTGTTATCCTTGATAAAATCTCTCTTACACCACTTCTTCCCAAGGGCTAGGAAACTCGAGGTAAGTATGATCTCACATCACACAGTAACATACATACATTCATAAAGGACTAACGAAAATGTGGGTACGGCATTTTCAAGTTTAAAAGCATGGCTAGAAAAAAGAAGAGAACTAAGTATTCAACCTCACATAGGTACAATGTATCAACCTCTAAAAACGAGGCATAACCATTTGTTCCCTGATAAAGCAAAGAGTCACTTTATAATGCATTCCACCTGTTTCAGATTATCCAAGAACGCGTGCCATAAATATAAAACTAGTATGACAAACTTTCCAGATACTTAGGAAAGTTCAAAATATAGAAAGGTTCATTTACAAAGAAAGAGCAGGTAACATAAGTCACAAATTCAAGCACGAAATTCCAACCAGGTAAAACGATAATCACAAAAGGCTATATAGGTAAAGTCACTTAAGATGGGCCATTTTATAACACGCAGTGGGAACAAACTTCTCTTCCCAAACTGAAATCGTTTATTTTACATATGTAAAATGTATGTTATGAAGACAAATTTGTGCGTACTCTTACAACATAAAGTGAATCAAATGTTGCTTCAGCAGCAAACTTTGGTGGGGACCAAACCATATGACATCTCAGTACCAAGTTCACCGATTTTCAACAAGGCACTCATAAAGGAGGATTTGTTTTGTTAACACACAAAGGCCTCTTTAAACTTTGCAAATATCTATCAATACTTTGGTCATCAAATCATTCTCTGTTTAATGCCGACAACTCTGTCAGGCTTGTTGGTCTTCTCCTTATTTACGTTTTACCTCGGCTGCTTTAACACACAGCAGAAGAAGCACAGGCCCTGAGAGACGTACTCGCTGACTGAAGACAGACTGATTAGTCTGTCTCAGTGGTATGTCAGAATAATTTCTCTTTCCTGCATATCCATTCTGTAGCCTAACTTCAGGAACTCTGGTAATGAATGTGCAGCTACTGAGAACCCCGCCTATCTCCACTCTGCATGTGCAACTCCTTGATCTACATAGTGTGGATGGGTGAAACGTGTCTTCATCAGGACCACATTTATAAATGGCATTAATGCAATATAATATCTACCAAGGTCGTGAGGGAGTTCCTCTTCATGTAGAGCCTCTCCAGGTGCTGCAGCCCCTCATCTTTCAGTAACTCCAGAGGAAAATGGTGCAGATTCCTGTAGTTTAAGAACAAATTCTTGTGCTTTTCAAGCCTGGCCACAGAGATCGTCTTACAGAGTTCGGATGCCATGACTGAACATGTCCAACCAGGAGTGCTGGCACACTACATCTTGTCAAAATTGCTCCATTTCTACAAAGAGGACAAAAAAATTAGTCATTAGGATTTCTTACAAGCACTGCATATAAACCTGTCATCCTACAGAGCTAGAAGACAACACTATATATACATATATACGAATACATATATATACTTTCTACCTTCTTTTATGACAACTAAAATTTTTGCACATATTTAGGACATTAAGATAATAGAGTAGTCTGATTAGGCATATTTACTACTTACTAGAAATAGACCTGACTGGGGGAAAACTCTTTTGGACTTAAGATAGGACTCTATTCGAATTGAGATCAATTTCTGGCTTTGTTTTTTAAAGACAGGTTTCTCACATACCCCAGGGTAGCCAAGAACTTGTTATGTAGCCAAGGAAAAATCTAAATTTCTGATCCTCCTGTCTCTGCCTCCAGGAGTGCTAGGATTCCAGTTGTATGACACACCTCTTTGTTCCTGCAGCACTGAGATCAAACCCAGGGGTCTGTGCATGCTGGGAAAGCACTCTGCCAACTGCTCGGCATCCCCAGGTCCCAGAGACAAGTTGCACAGTGTGACCAAAGAAAAAGATGTTAAAAAAAAATCAAACTCAGCAGGCCTCATTTTCATCTTGAGCTACCTCATTTTGTATTTTACTCACCCCGAACATTCAAACATACATTAGTTCTACTTATGTCACTAACAGCTCAATTCCTTTACTTCCTACTGTCTAAATGGTGTCAAATATTCCACATGCGCTCTTTCCCGTCTTGCAAGATGGCGGGTGAAAAGGCGGAGAAGCCTGATACAAAGGAAAAGAAGCCTGCGGCCAAGAAGGCTAGCGGTAATGCTGCTGCCTCTGGTCCCCCGGCCGCTGGTGCAGCTAAAAAGGGTAAACCGAAGAGTAAAAAACTCAAGAAAGCCAAGCCCCACTGCAGCCGGAACCCTGTCCTGGTGAGAGGAATTGGCAGGTACTCCCGATCAGCTATGTATTCCAGAAAGGCCTTGTACAAAAGGAAATACTCAGCTGCCAAGACCAAGGTTGAAAAGAAGAAGAAAAAGGAGAAGGTCCTTGCTACTGTCACAAAAACAGTTGGTGGGGACAAGAACGGTGGCACCCGGGTGGTGAAGCTTCGAAAAATGCCTAGGTATTATCCTACGGAAGACGTGCCTCGGAAGCTGCTGAGCCACGGCAAAAAGCCCTTCAGTCAGCACGTGAGGAGGCTGCGCTCCAGCATCACTCCCGGGACTGTCCTGATCATCCTCACTGGGCGCCACAGGGGCACGAGAGTGGTTTTCCTGAAGCAGCTGGGCAGTGGCTTGCTACTTGTGACTGGACCTCTGGCTATCAACAGAGTTCCTCTGCGCAGAACACACCAGAAGTTTGTTATCGCCACCTCTACAAAAGTTGATATCAGCGGGGTTAAAATCCCCAAACACCTGACTGACGCTTACTTCAAGAAGAAGCAGCTGCGCAAGCCTAGGCATCAGGAGGGCGAGATCTTCGACACAGAGAAGGAGAAATACGAGATTACAGAGCAGCGAAAGACTGATCAGAAAGCTGTGGACTCGCAGATTTTGCCAAAGATTAAAGCTGTTCCTCAGCTCCAGGGCTACCTGCGATCTCAGTTCTCCCTGACAAACGGGATGTATCCTCACAAACTGGTGTTCTAAATGGCTTACAGCCTCATTAAACAGATTCATATGTTTAAAAAAAAAATATTCCACATGCTTACTTCTTCTGTCTTTTTAGCCTTGCCTTCACAGCTTTGGAGAGTATCAGAAATAGCAAAGAAAGCAGTCAAAAGTCATCAGTCCAAAACACTGCACTGGGAACAAGAACCCTGTATGATCCCATCACAAATCTCTGGGCCTCAGGTAACTCAGGTAGATGCAGCAGTTAATAGGTTGGTTAAGTTGACAATGAAGCTACATTTGACATCTTCCTAGGCATACAGATGAACAAACTTCACTATGAACAGGTGAGGATGAACAAGCTTCCTCAGTAACATGACGAAACAGACTCAGGGCTTCCAGACCTTCTCAAAGGTGGAACGGTTCATAAGGAATTAAAGGCAACAATCTGACACCAGGCCTAGTGTGGGTTCTGTATGACGAAGCACAGGATTCCAGAAGACATTACTGAAAGTACACAACAACAAAATTGCTCAAAAAGTCGAATTTTCTAGACATGCCCCCTCTAGATCTTTATTGAAACATGAAAAGGAAAGGGAGTAGTTTCAATTATTGTATTCATTTTAAGAAAATAATTCTCATTGGATAGTTATAGGAAGGCTTTCTATGAGCAGAGTGTTATAACTTTGGGGTTAATGTCTATCATTTTCAAACTCATTCCTTAGCTCAGATGTCAGCAGTTACCATTTTACTTAAGAGTATTCTAAGAAGTGGTGGGTTAACAGCCCCAGGTCAACCTAAGAATCTAATACTTCCCCTACTTATTCCAGCTACTTCCTTCCTCACTTTATTGCCAGGCACCTGATCTTTGGACATCTTATGTGTCTTTATATAAAGAAAAGGGAACTATAGCACTGACAGCATCAATGTTTCTGTATGAAAGACAAAGCTAGAACAATTACCCCAGAAGGGTAATTAGCCACTGAGAAGTGGGAGTGGTTTAGAGGTCTTACAACATAACCAATGTCATACCTTCCCAGACAGCTGTCAGAGCTTATCACCAGTTACCTCCCCAGGTTTTCCTGTCTCAGCAAATGTGGGGGAAGCACCCTTCTACCCACACAGCAGCTCAGCTGGGAGTCAGGAAGGGTCCCATCCTCTCCATCACAGCTTCTTCAATCAAGGCTAGTGCTCCTCTTCCCAAATACATCTCAGTTCTAGCCATCTCTCTCCAGCGGCCAAACCCACCGGCCACTGCCATCTCCGGCCTTGGCCAGCTGTACTCCTGGCCTCCATGTGCCCTCTTTCATCATTCCCAACAGATCAATCACAGCAATGGGCCTCTGAAAATGCACTCATAATTGCACCTCTTCCTCTCAGGCACGTCTTACTAAACAAACCCTTTAGCAACTCCTTATTGAGAAAAGCAAGTCTTACAAAGCTTCCTGAGCCCTTGACCATCGGGCCTAACCTGCCTGTCCAGCCTCCTCTGTGACATTCACCAAGTTCCTGACCTCTCTTAATCCTGGGAGCTACCAAACGCCTCCAAGCTCTTGCTGCTCCCCCCTTGGCTGGAAATGTCTCTTTCCCCTGCAGGTTTCAACATAAAACTCACCTCCCTATCCCAAACTAATTACTTCCTTGGCTTTCTTTCACAGCAATCCAGTTGTTCAGTTTTTACTATTTCTTTTACATTATATATCTATACATAGATATGCACACCTGTTTACTGACACTTCAGACAAGAGTCTGTAAAATCCTAAGACCAGAGAGCTGTTGCTTTCTTCATGTCTGCATGCCTGCATTAATAATACAGTATCTAAAATGTTTTTAGCTTCCAAACAGCTAATAAGTGGATGAAATCAGGGCAGCTGTTCCAAAGTTGATTTTTCATGTACCCATTGAGATCACTCATAGATGATTTAAACTTGCTATCTGTCATAAATATCTATCTTCACAGCCAAGCAGAACAGCAGACGTTAATGAATCCACTTTACAGATGAGGTACTTTGCCACAGCCGAAATGCAGGTGGTCCTAACTCCAAAGTCTGGGTACCACCTTTCCCGTAACGCAGCCTTTTACAAATGTAAAATGTAGCCAGTGTGTCATCCTTATGAGACAGCCCAAGATTACACATATGGAAGGCTTCCCTTTTGCAAAGTCAAAACCGTATCCAAAATCTTCACTCACTGTAACCAGATGATGGCTCCTTCTGAATGTTCCACCTGGCGCTGGTTGCTTCAAAAGCATCATCAGGCTCTGCTTTGTACAAACTGGGAAATAACGCCTATGCAAATGAAAACCAAAAGCTCCCAAAGATCAATGATACTCTTGGTTTTCCAATATGCACTCATCGGCAAGACAGCTTTTTTGGTTTTCCTGACTTTTTCAAAACTTCACCCCCTGACCACCGTTAATGTAAATAATGTAATCAGTATTGACTAGATCCAGCTGCACCTTCAGTTTTCTGAAAGTCTACCACCAGTCTTCTCAGTAGAAACAGAACAAGCTCTCAAGTACATCCCAATTTAAAGCACAAGTATTTTAAAGACTAGTTCCTGACTGACTTTCCAGTACTTGAATCGACAGAATACACAAGCCGGCTTTCTAACACTGGAGATTAGAGACTTACAAACTGTATATTGCAAGCATCTGTAAAAAGCTGTTTTCTCCATGAGAAAAGCTACCAGACGTCTTGGTTTTGCCTGAGTTAGTCTGAGTCTAAAGTCATAAGAAATTCGGCAGCAGGGAGCCCAGAAGATGATACCGGGATACTCTGGTACCAGGGGCCAAGGAGGACACGCCAGCGGTGGGGATCCAAGGCCGGACAACCCACTATCCCTCTCCCAGAGGCCCAGGCGCTTCTGTGGCGACGGGGATGAAGCGTCCCCTCCGGGAGCCGAGCCAGCGGCTTCGACCGGTGAGCCTGGAGGCCGGACACTCACCTCGGCGCCCGCTGACCAACACTCAGCGGCTCAGGCTGCGCTGGTAGGCAGTCCAGAAAGCAGAGGGAGGGCGGGGCTACGGGGGCGGAGCCTGCGGAGAGGCGGGCCTGACTAACGGGAGTAGGGATCGGGAAAGAAGGGGGCCAGGAGAACGAAACGTCGCGATAGTTCGCTTCAGTTCTCGCTGTCTCACGATAGGTGGAAAGAAAGACTCATTTTAAGAACCAGACGCTTATTGGCTGAGAGCGCGACTTCCTGCAGCGTCCCAGCCATAGCTTTGTCCTGGTTTCCGGCTCCGGCTTGGAACTGGTTGTCAAGAAAGTGGGTGTTCTGCATTAGCGTTTTAGTGGGTTGTTTAGCTGGGCCAGCCTCAGGGCCGCCAGTAACTAGCCCGTTCTTTTATTCATCCATTCATTCCGCTGCCAACTATAAAACTCGGCGCCGAGCGATTAAATACCTGGCATCGACCTAGGCGCAGTCTTGCATCTGCTTTATCAGCAGTTCCGGCTGCTGTTACACCACCAGTCTGACTTAAACAGAATCTGTTGGGCTTACGTAACGCAAGTACATGGAGTCAACAAGCAGAACTTAAGGCGCTGGATTTGATGTCTCCAAATGCTCACTGAGAGCTGCCAAAGACGGTCTCTACCCTCTAGACACGTGTGGACTAGGCATGGTGGTGCACGCCTGAATCCCAGTGTTGTGAAGGTGGAGACAGGAATTAAAGGCCAACCTCAGCTCCCTGAGACACTGTCTCGGAAATAAAAATTGCAAAAGAAACACAGGCTCTGGTGCGAGAAATAACTAAGGACAATCAGAATTTAGTGAAATAATCTGGCAGTTCCGATATGGCTAAGTAGACTAAGTCGATGAATACCTTCTTAAGACTAAAAATCTGATTGTTCCGATGGAGCAAGCGTGCAGCCTCTGGTACTCTTAAGGCCGAGGCAGTAGGGCTACAAGTTGAAGGCCAGTGTGATTGCTAATGAGACCCTATCTCAAAAAAGTATTTCAAAAAGAAAAGGGGCAGGCATGTAGCTCAGTAGAGGCACTAAGTTCAAGCCCCAGTAGCAGGGAAGAAAAGTAAATTATTTTTTAAAATGTCGTGCACACTGATAGACGTCTTTCTGTCTTTAAATTTTCCTCTAAGACTTACTCTTTATTGTTTGACGAAACTCATTATGTACATGAGGTGTTTCGAACAAATCCACCCCTCGTTAAAAGTTATTCTTCGGGGGTTGGAGAGGTGGCTCGGGGGTTAAGAGCACTGACTGCTCTTTCTGAGGTACTGAGTTCAATTCCTACCAATCACATGGTGGCTCACAACTATCTGTAATGGAACCCGACGCCTTCTTCTGGTGCTTCCGAAGAAGCTACAGTGCACTCACATACATAAGATAAATAAATCTTATATTAAAAAAACTCTTATTCTTTGTTCTTCAATAAAAATTGATGAACTGGGCAGTCCTGGCCCATGCCTTTATTCATAGCATGCAGAGGCAGAGGCAGGCGGCGGACCTCTTGGGTTTGAGGCCAGCCTGGTCTACAGAGTGAGTTCCAGGACATCCAGGGCTACATGAAGAAACCCTGTCACGACAAAACAAACAAACAACAACAAAAAGATGTCTATTAATTTGCATAGAGACTTCTTGTTAAGCAGCCCTAATTTTATCTATCTATCTATATCTATCTATCTATCTATCTATCTATCTAATTATAAGTAAAAATAATATGACACTAACTTTAGTTAGTGAATGCTGAGATCAGGAGAAATAATATTTCCCAGGAAAAGCACACCAATTGATTATCCAATACTAAATTGTCAGCCCTGAAAATTCTCATTCATTCTCTCTCTTTCTTTCTCTCTCTCTCTCTTTCTCTCTCTCTCTCTCTCTCTCTCACACACACACACATTCTCTCTTTCTCTCTTCCCATGTAATAATTAAAGAAAAAAGAGGTCATGAATTTGAAAAAGAACAAGGGAGGGGTACATAGGAGGCTTGGTCATAAGGAAAGAAAAGGGAAAGCCATGAAATTATAATTTCCATATACATGTATATATAATATTAATAATTGACAATCACAAAAAGAGTAGTAATAGAAAACATTTCTGAAGTAATGTCAGCTTCTTAATTTTTGTCTTTCTTTTTTAAGAATATTTCTGGCACATGCTCATGAAAAATGTTAAAATAGCTCTTTCTCCTTCTCCAAATTGATATTAAACTCCTATATTGATAGTATGACCAATGTTAGAAATTCACTTGTTTTGTGGAGAGGATCAACTTACTTTTTTTTTTTTTAATCAGACTTAAAACAGAAGGGGAAACTCTAAATGGATTTTTTCTTTTTTTTCTTTTCTTTTCTTTTTTTTTTTCTTTTCTTTTCTTTTTTTTTTTTTACTACAATCTCTGGCAACTTTTAACTTCAACAAGTCAGCGATACCACTTTAAGAAAATTCCAAGGAAAAGGCTGCCGCGGATCTAAAATTCCCACCTCTGGCTTCCAGGGATTGGATTACAAAGTTCAACAAACTTCTCTTCTCCACTCCCTATTGGTGAAGGCGCTATCATTCATTCTTTGGCCTGGAGTTTTGTTAAGTACTGGGTTGCTTTACGGAAAAATGCTGTTCTCTTTTGGGATGAAACTACTCTGTTTAGACTTGTCTGTGGTTATCAGGCTGTAGAATCATTAACTTGATACAGAGGGAGCCACTGGCAACTCAGGTTTTCAAGAGACCCGTGAAAAGGAAACGGAGTCTCTCCATCGGACTGGGTAAACTCACAAAGGATTTTACGACTTTGTTGCAGATACTGAGTGTTAAAGAAACTTTCCAGGTGTTTTGTTTTGTCTTGCTAGTTTTAAAGGAATGCCTAAAGAAAACCAGAGGAAACGCCGACACATGCTGAGGTGGCTGGAGGAAGAGGCAGCAGAATTCTTTTGTCTGTAGAATGAAGTTGGAAACGCAATTCCCAGGTGATCAGTGGAATTTTGCAAGGTAAGTAAGATTAATTGTGGGTCATATTTTGCTTCAAAAAGTTTGTGCTTTGTGGTTATTTGTTGATTTAATGTGGATTTAGACATTTAATATTATTGTTTTTTTTTTAAATCAAATGGATAGTCATGTCTGTGCATTATAACAGACCTAATATGCAAGCCATCTATTTAGAGAAGAAAAATCACAATTGACTTTGAACTCAAATTGGGCAGATATTTGTAAAGTTGAAAATTAAGGAATGGATTTGCCTGTGACCAAGCAAACCTAGTTTTGGCATATGCTATATCAGAATCAGCAAGTGGATAAATTCTCCCCCAAAAGAAATCTGGTATTCATATTTTCAATAAGAGTTATTTTAATTAATATTAAAATATAAAGTTCAGGAATATATTAGATCAACATTGTCACAGTTAGTTTACCTATAAGGACATAAAACAGTAAAACTCTAGATGTTCATACCAAAGCTTTGGACAAACGGGGCTCAGAGATTTTCAATGAAAGAGTCTATGTATTTTCAACGTGTAGGTGCTTGTGACAGATGCTAAGGGCATCAGGAGCTCGGAGCCCTTGAATTTGCAATAGGTAGGGGAGAGGGAAGTAGCATTCCATGGGGTGCTGCAACCTTGGCAAAGCTGCCTCTGACTGCAGCAAGACGTTCATTGAAAACCTTCATTAAAATGGTAATAATGCTTTAGTTAAATACTTAAAAAAAAAAAAGCACGGGAATTTACAGGAAGAGCCAGTCACTAGCGTTAAGGAGTTCACTTGTGGATTTTCAATATGAAAACTGCTTTGCAGCTTTGGACTGTGTCAAGGCGAAGGGCAAAGCTCAGTAATCTCAGTTGGACAGATCTGTAGCCAAGTCTCTTGAGACATTTTGATTGATTAAGTATCTTTATTCACCATCATTGCGTCACATAAATCCTGATGCGTTTCCTTGTGGCCTTTGAGAAGCACCGAGCAGTTTTAATCTAGCACTGTGTGTGTATATTGTCAGGTGTGGTGGTTGCGGCATAATTAGAACTGTGGCAGTGATTCTTGTTCCCGCTGGATTGGTTCTTTCTTTGAATGTGTTTGTCATGATTACACTTAACTGATCTAAAGGAATTTCAAACCCCAAACCATGAAAAGCCACTACAGGGAGTGCCACTTGAGCTGTGTCTGGGACAAAACTCAGTATTTCACATGCTCAGTGAGTTACCATGATACTCCAGAACCTCTGCTAAGCATTGAGAAAGCAAAGAGACTGAAGGACCATCTCCAGCAAGCGGGCAAAGTGCTTCATCGACGTTAACTGTATCCTTATACCAAAACATACTCTGAAGTCTGAAGCTCACCAATCCTAAGATGTCCATAGGTAGTTCTTTCTTTCTTTCTTTTGGCTAATGATATGCTGTGTTCACTTTTATCCCTTTTTTTTTATTATTTTCTCCTCCACCCCCTCTCTTCTTCTAGATTTCTAAATTCCCTGTTTATTTTCATGTTTCTTTCCCTCCTGGTTTTGAGACAGGAGACAAAACAGTCCACATTTGCCTTTTTGAGACTGGCTTATTTCTTTTTTTTTTTTTTTTTTTTTTTTGGTTTTTCGAGACAGGGTTTCTCTGTGTAGCCCTGGCTGTCCTGGAACTCACTCTGTAGACCAGGCTGACCTCAAACTCAGAAATCCACCTGTCTCTGCCTCCCAAGTGCTGGGATTAAAGGCGTGCGCCACCACCATCCAGCTGAGACTGGTTTATTTCTCTTAACACATTCTTTGGTTTCATCCATTTTCCTGCAAATGAAGAATAAGCTTTATTCTTCAGAGCCAAATGAATCTGTGTTGTATACATATGCCCTTTCCTCATTGGCTGGTTCTTTGATGGACACCTATGCTGCTTCCAGGACCTGGCTCTTGTGGCCCAATAGCTTTAGTGTACAGATGTCTCTATAGTAAGCTGACATATCAGTGATTTCAAAAGGAAGAGAAGGAGGAATCTCTAGCTGTTAGAAACAGCTCTGGGACAAGGTCCCTTCTCACAAGGCTGTCTCCAATACTTACCAAGTATTATCCATTCGTAAGTCCCTTAAATAGTACAGCCCTCAAGAAGATGGAGAAGCAGAAGAAATGTGCCACCTGTGAGCAGTGACAGTGAAAAGCTCACTCATGCTTTCTCAGGTCTGCTGAGATTCCTGTGATATGCAGCCTTTGCCTCTGTGGGATGGACATCTCCCCCCACAGCTACTGCAGTGACTGTGCACAGAAAGAGTTCGCTTGTTACTACGTGCAGGCCTTCTCAGTCCTGGCTTCCTCCAGCTCTTCACAGCTTTTCCCCTGAGGATTTTGGCACTCTATATGTGCAAAACAAGAAAAGTAATGAGAGGATACTTGTGCAATTAGTTTAGCTTTTAAACTAAATGTAATCTTAAGGGCTAGAAGCGTCGTTACTCAGTGGTAGCATTCACAAGGATCTGTGTTTAATTTCCTAGTAGGAGTTAAATTGCTGTGGCAATGTTTCTACTGTTTGTATTTTTTGCATTAAAATTTATAGATACTATTTTTAGTGAATGTATCATTTGACTCCAGTTTCACAAGGAATGAGATGATGGCTCTATCTCAAAGAAGAAAGGATTGCTGTAAAAGACATGAAATCTCATCTACAGTGTAATCTGTGAACTTTGAGGTCTGTGGAATACATATATATGTATATATATATGTACATATATATATATATACACATACATAATACATATATATATACACATACATGCATACATGTATGTGAATATGTATATTTCAAAATCTGTGTTCATCAGGATTCTCCATGATACGGCAATACCACATTCTTTTTTTTTTTTAAGATTTATTTATTTATTTTATTTATGAGTACACTGTTGCTGTCTTCAGACACACCAGAATAGGGCATCCAATCTCATTACAGATGGTTGTGAGCCACTATATGGTTGCTGGGATTTGAACTCAGGACCTCTGGAAGAGCAGTCAGTGCTCTTAACCGCTGAGCCATCTCTCCAGCCCCTCAATACCACATTCTTTTTATCCATTTGAGAGTTCACAGACATTGGGAATACCTTCAGAATTCATCTACTACAGCTAACACTGCTAGGAAGATGTGCACACATTTCTGTATGGCTGTGCTTCTTCAGCTGCGTTGTAGTTACCTACAAGTAGATGAGTGGGTCATGTACTGACTCTGTGTCTCACTTGGAGGAAGCATCACAGCTCTATTCCAAGGCGACCTCAGCACCACTTCACATTCTCACCAGTAGCATGTGAGAGTTCCGACTTCTCCACATCGCCACCGCTTCTTACATTTGGGTTTATTGCTGCTGTTACTACTGTCGTTGTCTAAATTTAGTGAAGATGAATTAGTAGCTCCTTGTGATTTTGATGATGACTAATGATAGTAGCCATATGGGATTCTTGGCTATCCATATATTTTCTTTGTTTTAAAAAAAAATGTCTAGGGGCTGGAGAGATGGCTCAGCAGTTAAGGGCACTCTTCCCGAGGACTCGGTTCAAATCCCAGCAACCACATGGCAACTCACAACTGTCTGTAACTCCAAGATCTGACACCCTTCTATAGACACAGATGCAGGCAAAGCACCAAAGCACATAAAATAAAGGAAATAAATTTAACAAGAACATTTAAAAAAAAATCTCTATTTAGTTACTGGTCTAATTTTCAGTTGGGTTAACATATTGTCATTGAATTGCAGATATTCTTTACATATGCTCCCATGTTTTAGGTTGTCTTTTAAATTTAGTGTTTAACTTTGAAGCATTAAGAGGTCAGTGTTGGGAACATCCAGTTTATCCAACCTTTTCCTCTGTCACTGGTACGTTGGCGCTGTATCCAAGGAATCCAAGCTCACGAGGGTCGACTCCAGTGTTTGGGCGGAGCTTCGTGCTTCGGACTCTCACATTTAGGTCTCTGCTCGGCTTGAGGTTCATCTTTAGGTATGGCTTGAGGTCCGCCTCTTTGCATGCGGCTCTCCAGCATCCGTCATTTATTCTAAAGACTCTTCTTCCTGCCATTTAAGCATCTTAGCGCCTTTTCAGGGTTTGAAGGAGTACACAAGGTCCTGGGTTTGACCACTGGGGGAAAAAAAGAGTGACCATGGATGTCAGAGTTATCCTTGAACTTCTTTTCTTGTCCTGTCTGTCAATCCTTATGCCAGTGCCTTGTCATTTTGTTCTGGTTTCTCCCAGCTTCAACTGCACTGTGATTGACAATCTAGAGTCTTACAAGTTGTACAAGGTTTTTTTGTTTTGTTCTGTTTCGTTTTTTGAGAAATTTCTGTTGTTTCTTTTTGCGATTGTATTTTAATTACAGTATTTCAGTATTTCTCCCTTGCCTTTCCTCCCTCAAAACCCTCCCATATACCCCTCACTGCCCTCCTCCATATGGATGGCCTCTTTTCCATCAATTGTTGCATGCTTATATGTACACACACACACACACACACACACACACACACACACATTTCTAAATACAGCCTGTTGAGTCCATATGTCACTTATTTGACTGTTTGACCCTGGACCACCAATCGATATGCTCCCAGCTTTACTCAGTTGCTTGTCGTTCTGTGAGTAGGATTGAGGCCCTGTGGGGTAGTCTCCATCCAGTTTGGCGTGTTTATTGGTGTCTTCCTCAACAGCTTGTTTTGTTGTTCTCGAAGTTTATATAATGATTGCCACAACCAGGGTGACTCACATAATCATCTGGCATAATTGCCGTTGTTTACCTGATGAGGCCGTAATAAGATCTACTACCCTCGCCCAAGGATCTAGGGCAAGGTTTTCTGCCGTCATCATGCTGGTCATGTGGTCATGTCAGCTTGAGAACTTGGAAGTGAAAAGTTTTGCTTCTCCAACAGTGTTTGATTACTGTGGGTTGGTTGGGGCTTCCTTTGTTTTGTTTTGTTTTTCTTTCTGGTCAGACCGCTTGTCTGTTTGGGGCAGGATTTTTTTTTTACTGTGCAGTCCAGACTAAGCATGGACT